TGGAGCGCGCCCGGCCCCCTGCCGTTCCGTTGCGGGGGCGAGGCGCTGCTCTGCCGGGGACTGCAGGCTGGCTCCCAGAGCCACGGGTGGTTTCTCGTTGGAGGTCGCTGTGGGCGGAAGGAGCGGTCGTGGGAGGAGCTTGCTGTGGATCCTGCCGGACCCTGGCCCTTTGGCTCCGCGGTTGCACATCCTCACTTTAAACTTCAGAAGCTCAAATGTTGTTGGCAACTTCCTCGCATAGACTTGATACTAACCCAGCCTCAGTCTGTGGTACTGGAGCTGTTACGCTGTTCCCTACTCTAAAGAGAACCTGACCTCTCCCTCCTCTGTAAAATGAAACCAGTCTCCTAGCAGGACAGCTTTTATAAAGAGAAGCCCTCTTCTTTCTTTTACTTCTGAGCCCTCTTCTTTCTTTTACTTTGGGTACCAAACTTACTGGTATAGGTATCTTCTCTTTACAAAGATGATTTTTAAAAGTCTTTCTGCATAGGGACCTGTTCCCATTTAATGCCCTGCTCTGAGCTCTGTCCTTCCATTTTCCTAACTAGACTGCTTAGTGTCCTAGGCTGCAATCTGTCATTTGTGGGCCATGTGTTCATGTGTGTTTGGACTGTGCCTAACAATGAAATCCCAGTTCTGGGGAGTTTGAGAATCATTGCAATAGAAACAACATCTGCTGGGGCATAGTCTAATGGTTCTGTTTTTACCAGTCTCAAGTTTGCAGAGTTTGGAATACCATAGAGACAGCTCAAAACACTAGTTGATGATCTATACAAGAGATTGTAGCTAGAAATGTGTATTGATTACATTAAATAGTTTCTTAGGAGGGGAAGGTTAGAAGCCTTCTTGACTGATCTACTGGAAAAGGAGATGGCCTATTTGAAAATATGTTGTAGGAAATAGGAAAGAATGCAGGGTTGCCTTGTGGGTATTTTTCCTGTGTGGGTCCTATAAGTTAGTGGGTGAAAGTCCTATGCTATGGATTCTGTAGGGAGATATTATTTAGGTTAGCAAGTAATTGAACCCCTATTGGCTTTGCCTGCTGAGGAAATCTGAAGACCAGTATCCCACTCTGGCATTAACTAGAGATGTGAAGGGGGTGGGAACAGAAAAAATGGTGGGGGAAGGGGGGATGTTTGTCCCGTTTTTTTCTAAGGCCTTTTTTTTTCCCCCCCTGGAAAAATTGGAGAATTTGTGGAAAAATTAAAAAAAACCTCTTATGAAATATTTTCTTTTAGAATGATGAATAAAATGTTTAAGTCAAGGTGTTCATATATTGCGACCCTTTACTTCCCAAAAATGTTTTCTAATAACTATGTAATAGTCTCACATAAAAGTATCAGCTCATTACAATTCCTGTACACCAAGGACAAGCAGTACAGTACAACTTTCCAATGCAAGAGCAAGATGCATTTCTGCCCACAGGGGGCACTGCCATTTTCACAAGAGAGAGATTCAGTGCTTTCTTTGCTTGTGGACTTCCTCTGTTGTTGACTTTTGATCTAGAGGTTGGTGGATCTGTTCCTGTCCTCCTGACTAGGCCTCAAAGGACTGGGAGTGGATTGCATTCATTCCTGTAGAGATTAGAAACAAGGAGCTTATTGCCCTGCTTGCTCAAAAGCCTCAGGAGAAGAGACAGAGCAAGTCTAAAGGTTTTGGAGTTGGAAGGAACCTGCTTTCTACTGGCCCTGTGATGTTGAGATCCACAGAAATACAGAAGCAGCACAAAGGCACTGAAAGAAAGTATACTTCTTTATTGAAAGGTTAGAGTTTAAATTTTGCTGAATTCAGTATATTAAACTAAATTTTAGCTGCATTAGTATATTTTCATAACTTATGTAATTCATAATTGAATTCCTACTATTCTGATGTTTTGTGACAACTCACCCAACCTTAGCAGTGAGGCGAGGCCTGCAGGGCAGGGAAGTTGTTCACATTTAACTCTGAGGAGGCTTCTCCTCCATCCATTACTAAATTTGTACGTGCTGTAGCTTAGTGTTTATATATGCAAGCGAGCCACTAAATTACATTTTTTTTTTTTCTTTTTTTACCCTCAGCAAAATGGTGTGAGCAACTTCTAGCATATGGAAGCATTTCTACACTGCAAGTTATTCTGAGGGGGAAAAAAAGTGATTTGCAAATACTGTCAAATTAAATATGCATTTCCAAATGCTACTAGGATTACCAAACACATCCTTGTATGCAAGAAGTGTCCTGCAGACATTAAAAAGTCCTTCATAGGTGTAAGTGAGGAGGAGGTAGATCATGATGGTGAAAGTGCAAGTAGCTCTTTCCAACATTCTTGATCCAGAAGTCGTCTGCTGCTGCTGCTGCTGCTGCTGCTGCTGCTGCTCCCAATCAACATCCTCAAGTAACCATATATTGCAACCAACTATACAAAATAGAGATGCACCAATGCATTGGTCTGATATTGGTACTGATCAGATATAAAGAAAATTGCCTATATCAGATATTGGCCCAATGGAGCTGATAATTTGGCTGATTAATGCCTGTGCTGCGTGCAGCCACAGTGGAGCATAGAGCAGAGCCAGCAGCATGGAGAGCTTCCTCCAGCTGGCAAGTCAGAAGGTGAGGGGGAGGGTAGGAGAGTGTTGTGGGGGGCAGATCAATACCCCCTGAGGTGAGGCAGGGGGCAGGGGCAGGCACTGACGGGGGTGGGGTGGGACAGGTATGTGGGATAGAGCCACAGCTCATGGTACGGTGGTGGCTCCTGCTGCTGTTTCCACCCTGGCAGGGCGAGGGGGCATGTGCCTCCAGATCTGTGCGGTGCGGGGCAGGCTGCAGTTGCAGGGTGGAGCTGGCACTGCGCAGGGCTTGTCTGGCCAAGGACTGGGCTTGGAGCAGGCTCTGGTGGTGTTGGGAGGAGGCTGCAGCCACCCCAGATTTCACTGCAGCTCTACTCCCAGCCCAGCCCGCCACCCAGTGCAGCCATGGCTTTTCCTGGCACTTGGGTGGAGGCAGGCCATTCAGCCAGGGCTGCGGTGGGTAGTGGCGTGGGGCTGGGAGTGGAGCTGCAGTGAAATTTGGGGTGGCTACAGCCTCCTCCCAGTACTGCCAGAGCCCGCACAGCGCCAGCTCTACGCTGCAGCCTGCCCCGCACGGATCTGGGAGCACAGGCCCCGCCCTCCTGGGGTGGAAGCAGTAGTGGGAGCTGCCCCCACCCCACGATCTGTGCCTCCATTCTGCACCCTGCCCTCTAGCTGCTCTGGCTGGGCAGCGCCTGCTCCTGCCCCTTCCTGCACTGTGGGGGGCGTTGATCTGCTTCCCCCTCATGCCCCTTCCTTCCCCCCCTCCTCTTCCAGCACACCGGACTTACCACCTGATGGTAGCTGTATCAGATAGTTATCGGCCAATATATCTCCTTAAATATTGGCTATCGGTATTGGCCTCCAAAATCTCTATCGGTGCACCCCTAATACAAAAGACTCTCAATAGCTTTGTTTGTAGACAAGATGACACCTGAAGATCAGGAAAAAATTGACCAAGCTCTTGCAAAAACAATATATTCTTCTGGGATGTCATTGTCAAAAACTGAAAATGCAGACTGGCAGGAAGCTTTTAAATTACTAAGACCATCATACCATTTGCCCAGCAGACATTCTTTGAGCAAGCCTCTTTTAGAGTCAAAATATGAACATGTAATGTAGTCTGTGCAAAGAATAATCAACAAAGCACTGTGTCTTGCGGTAGTTACAGATGGATGGACAAATGTGCGGGGAGAAGGAATCATAAACTTTGTAAAAAACTGGTTGAGGTGTTGTTATCACAGAAGCATTGAAACAGGAGGGAACAAGTATACTGCAGAGTATATCAGTAGTAAGATATGTGAAGTCTTACAGAAGATTGGGAATGGTAAAGTATTTGCTTTGCTGACTGGCAACGCAAGTAACATGAAAGCAGCATGGGAGATCATGATCATAATGGATAAATATCCACATATTACTACAATAGGTTGTGCACCCCATGGGCTAAACTTGCTGCTTAAAGACATCATGAAATTGGATACTCTGCAAAAGATCTATAGAAGAGCAAAAGAAGTTCTAAAACATGTAAAAGCTACTCATGTTGTAGCTGCAGTCTTTAAGAAGAAGCAGGAAGAAAAGAATGCAAATAATAAAATAGTGACACTCGAACTCTGTAATAAAACTAGATGGGGTGGAGTGGTGATCTCATTTGGAAGTTTACTAAAAAACAAAGAAGCGCTTCAAGAAGCACTAATTGAGGATCTTAAAGTACCCAGAAGTGTAAGGAACTCTGTACTTAATGACGATGTCTTCTGGGTTTAGTTGCAGAACTCCCTGAAGATTCTAAAACCAATTTCTCCAGCAATCACTGCATCTCAATCAGACAGTGAGCTTTTGTCAGACATTCCTTACCAAATGGTCCAGGTAAAATCAACTGTTTTTGAGAATCCAAGTGCATCTCTGCTTACAAGTGAAAAAGAGAAAAGTGAAAGACTTTATTAACAGACGGGAAGAATTCTGTTGCTAATCAATTCATGCTGCTGCAAAGCTCTTGGATCCAGGATTCAAAGGCAGAAATGTTAGTGATGTAGCACTGCTACTGCATTTGACTTGATTACAAAAGCAACACGCTTAGGACTTGTTGTTGGAAAGTGTAAAGAGGGACTGGCTAAAAACCAAA